GAGAAAAAAAAAAAAGAGGGAAACCTTAAGCTAGGTATATATATCGATCGCTCCTCTCTTTTCTCTCGTCAAACACATCGCTTCTCTCAACAGATAAAATCCCCTCAGCTCTCGTTTCGCTCGATAGCATCAGAAAACAGAAAAACCCTGCCATCCCTCACCGTCCTCTCACCTTCGATCGTTGCACCTGTTCCCGTCCTCCTTGCTGTGAACCTGCTCCGCCCGCGAAGCTCCTCCGCCGCGACCAGTCCACCTCCGGCGACCCACATAGCAGCAACGCCGTGACCAACAGAGCCCGCTGCTCCTCCTCGATCGCCCCTCTGCCGCTGCCTCACCGCCGCGAGCCGAGCGTGTCGCCGTCGAGCATCTGCCGCGAGTCGTTTTCATTGTCTCGTCAACCCCGTTCAAACCCTTCTCGCACGTTTCCCAAGAATGGTATCAAGACTCGATCCCTCTTTCGATTATATATGCGTTATGTAATCATGTTATCGGTTTATATATTTCATGTTATCGGTTTATATATAATGTCGTGTTTATGTGTGATCTTTGTCGATTCGTATGAATCGAAAAGATCACATTGAAGTCGTGTTAAGTTGTTGTGGATTGGAATGGTTGGAATTCCTTGGCCTTATGGTTAAGGCCACGGACGAAATAAATGAGTTATGTGCCGGTTATGAGTTTTCGATCTCAAATAGTTGCTGTTTATTTGATAAATTCATGATAAATTGTGTGCTGCTCCAATTAATGTGAAATTTTGTGTATGAGGATCACTGTTGATTTTACAGGTCGTGTAAAAGTTTCAGGATTGAATTCCATATGTAGCTATTTTTTCATAATTGTTTTGATTTCTGGGCAAAATATTGCAAATTGCATATTAAATCGATTTGTGCTCCAAATTGGCTAAATTTTTAATATGTTGTCTCTCTTACATATTTACATGTTTATTAAAGCGTTTATGATTTTTGGACTTCATTTGCTAGGGTTCAAAATTGTTTGAAATATTCTCTATAATTTTCGTTTAATTATGATAAATCGACCTGTTGTTGTAAATTTCTGAATTTTGGTGTTCGGACTCATTTTTTTTATTTGTTTCATGTTATAAAAAGTTCAGATTTATTTGAGTTCATTTTGGTTTGGTTTTGTTGAAAATTCTAATTCTGCAGAATCTTGTTTTAATTTTTATAATTCGTGTGTTTCATGTTAATAGCTGGAATTTTTATATCTTGTTATTCACATGGGGTAGCTGCTCGTGTATAAATTTCAAGTCATAATTCGTTCATTAGGTCAGGTTTTGGATTTATGCTTGTTTTTGCTGTAAACTTGTTTGAATTTTATAAAATCGTGTGTTTTGAGTTAAGGACTAAAATTTGGTGTTTTGACTAAGTCCAATGAGGTAAATTTTGTGTTAAAATTTCAAAGCCTAACTCATTGGGTTGCTGGACCAACTTGAATTTGAGAATTTTCGGAAATTATTTTCAAAATGTAGTTTTGTGTTAAATTCGAGAATCGGCTTGCATGTTATTCTTGTGACTTGTTTTGATTACCCTTTATGTGAAATTGTGTGAACTTTCATTTTGATTTGGTCGAATCTAAGTCCGAGAGTTCCAATGTCCACAGGACTCCACGGACAACTTAATCGAATCAAGTTCGGCTAAGTCTGATTGTGATTTCCTTTTTAAGTCAAGATAAGGTGTTGATTTTAGTATCTTGACTTAATGTAGGTGTTTTGAGGTGTTTACCTCACTCCTCATTCAAGATTCGTGATTGTGAATTGTCTCTTGAATCAGGTGGGTACATTTACGTTGTATCTACATTTATCGCACTTATTATTTCGTGTAAATGTTTCGTTCGAAAATTGTTGTATGCGTGAGAACCCTAGTCTAAGTGTCCCGTTTGTTAGTGCCTTTGAGGAATGCATAAACAGTGAGAGGTCGCCGACCCGTAGTTGATTCGGGAGGTGGACGCCCCGGTCCGTATGATATTCGTGAAGGGGAAAAACAGCTCTACTGTCTCCTGGAAAGGATCCCAGGCCCGTTGTATTCGGAGATGGGAAGGTTTCAAGTTACTTCTTTGTCGTGTTGTGATCGGAAGTTTGTTGTATGTACATAGGAGGTTTGCGATAGGGCCATGTAGGGAGTTAGACCTTGGATTCTATGCATACTGCGTTTATGTTTTTAAAATCTTTATACGGGATAAACCGTGCGGTAATGGTGAGCATGATTTTTTTGCTCACCCCCATTATTTTACTGTTGTTTCCTCTTCCTTTTTCTTTAGGTTGAGCTGAGCTGGTGACTGTGGCGTAAAGGCAAACGGGTGGTGGTCATTGATTGAATATGTTCTTGTTATATTATGCTTCCACTTATATATGATATTGTCAAACTATTGCCTTTACTTGGATTTCGTTCCTGCTTTGTTTTTGGGATAAATTGATTATGTCGGATTGAACCTTGGAATTATGTTTTGACTTTATTGTTTTTGGAACTTAATGAATGCTAGTTAAATTTTATAATTGTTAGTCATGCATGTATAGGTTTAATCTGATGTGTTTGCATTTTTGTTAAATTGTTCTTGGTAGATAAGTAGCGCCCGCTGAGATTTCAAATTTAAATTGAAATTTGCGAAAAATTAACTCTGATTTTTATAAATAAATTTGGTAAATCCTGTAAAATAAAATGAGGCGTTATAGTTTGGTATCAGAGCCAGTCTGCGTTTCTGTAGACTATCTCTAGTGTTAGAGTATTCAATATGACCATTCGACCACTCGCTTTCGTCTCGCCACACCAGCTC